TAGGTATGTTCAGTAACTGCAGCTAAGGGGGGGGCTTGGGGTGCACCAGCAGGAGCTTGTGGGAGGTGCTGGGCAGCCTGGGGTCCCACCACCCCAGGAAGGGAATTCTGAGTATATCAGTTATGATGATTTTTAAAGTGAGTTCCCAGACTGAACATGAGAATTGAGAAGAATGTCTCCTCCAAAGAAGAGACTCCTACAGACCTGTGAGGAGCCCCGGGCTGAACTCTTGGGGACAGTCACGGTCCCCATCTTAGGACTTGGGGCACTGCTCTGAGGCACGCTGTCTGGGCCTGTGCCTAGGAGGACATGTGGCCCGGGCGACCCCAGCCCAGGCCCGTGACACGTGGCCCGGGCGACCCCAGCCCAGGCCCCTGACACGTGGCCCGGGCGACCCCAGCCCAGGCCCCTGACACGTGGCCCGGGCGACCCCAGCCCAGGCCCCTGACACGTGGCCCGGGCGACCCCAGCCCAGGCCCCTGACACGTGGCCCGGGCGACCCCAGCCCAGGCCCCTGACACGTGGCCCTGGCGACCCCAGCCCAGGCCCCTGACACGTGGCCCGGGCGACCCCAGCCCAGGCCCCTGACACGTGGCCCGGGCGACCCCAGCCCAGGCCCCTGACACGTGGCCCGGGCGACCCCAGCCCAGGCCCCTGCTGCCCTGCTTCTGGAGGATCAAAGGCTTTTCAGAGCCTTCAGAAACACTGAGAAGTGAAGTTCAAGCCAATGTCTGCTCTGCTCCCACCCTGCGTCCAGAGAGGCAGGGTGACATTCCATTCCTGTCTCTCCAGAGAGGCAGGGTGGCATTCCATTCCTGTCTCTCCAGAGAGGCAGGGTGGCATTCCATTCCTGTCTCTCCAGAGAGGCAGGGTGGCATTCCATTCCTGTCTCTCCAGGTGCTCTGAGTACCCGGCCCGACCAGCTCAGGAACAGACAGCCAGACTCACCTTCCCTGTCTCGCCCGTTGATGTCTGTTCCCCTGGCTTGTTTGTCCATCCAGGAGTCCCAGCCAGTGGCTGCTAGTGAGCCCCTGGTACCCTGTCACCTGCTGACAGCCCCTGTCAGAAACCCACAGACCCACACTTCACGTCAGGAGTCCTGGGGGCAGCGGAGCCCAGTGCACCTTGAGCGCACAGCAACGGCTTTCTAACATCTGCAGAGTTTATTCTGCAGAACTGGCCCATGGTGGGGACGGGGAGGGGTTTTAATTCTTAGCCTTATACAACACGTACAAATATACAAACAAGCTCTTGATTAAAAAAAAAACTTTTCTTGAGAGAAGGCTCTTGTTAGACTACATCTTTCATGGAGCTATATTACAAGGATGTTCACACTGGCATATGGCATACAATGAGATGTTATCAAATATTGAGTATTAATGTCAGCTTGACAGCATTTAGCTTACTGAGATTTTTCCTTAAAGCAATTACATTCTCTGGAAAAATGACTTAACTTAGTGATATTTCCTAATTTACTTAAAATATGCACTTGACATTTTAACTAAAGTGTAGTTTTAAATATATTTGACATTTTAAAATCACAAACACTGATTATGCAATGTACACAACTTGTAATTTAGGCACGCACCGCTCTGTAATGGAGTTATCATCCCCTCGTTCATTTACAGAAGTAAAATGAAAACACTCCGTCTTCTCTTCCGTCAGGATCCCACTCAACCTGCTCTTCGCTCTCCACGACCACGACATGTAACACTCAAGATCATTACACTGTTCTATCTTAAATACCTCAAATGATAGTACAGGGCAAAATATTTTGGATCTATTTCTAGATGAAATTCACCTAGGTAATTTGTTGAGAAATGGGAGAGGGATGAACTTGTTCCATTCTGAAATTCATGTTTCTGCGGCGTAAACGTGTACCTGAGCGATAGAGGTGCAGCCACCGATCTTCCTCTGACAATCACTCACGGGTGACGGGCGACCTCTGTCATTTACCCAGAAGGCTGCATGTGAGAAAGGAATCCATTTATCTCAGATGAAAATTTACAAAATCAGGTGCCACAGGACAACAGGGATGTAACTAAAACAGACCGAGAGACAGAGGCTCTTTTCCACTGACACCAAAACCACTAATTTTAGTAAGGATGAAATTGATTTTTTTTAACCAAGTGTCCTTACATGGAATTCCTTTTCCAAACTTCTTGCTCCTGTGAACATGTCCAGCGGGCCTTGGATGAAAGCCTCCTGCTTCACCTAAGCTAATGCAAGGGCTGATGTTGTGCAGAGTGGCTGGTGCAAGCACAGCGCCCGCTCACAGCTCCTATCCGCCACCAGCCAGCGATCAAGCCGGCCAGACTAGGGAATCATACTCACTGGGCCTGCGTGCGCAGCAACAAGCTGGCAGACACAAAACCGCGGGCAGAGGGGCACTTGCGCCTAGATCCACATTCTCATGATCTCCAGAGGCTTCAGATCGGGACGCTTTACTTCTCTGAGCTCCTTTCTCTCTGTGTCTCAGCATGTGTTGTGGGGGTACTTGGTTTGAGACAGAACCAAGAGGGGGAAGCCAGCCAGTCATCTTCCTGGTTTTGTCACGTTCACCTCCAATGGCATTACTTTATCTAGTGAGAATCCCCTCAGAGTTAAAATGAGAAATACGTGAGCTTACTGATACACTACAATACATGAAGGGGAGAAAAATTAGAAAGGAAGCAAACAAATGGAATTTTGGACAAAACAACTTTGACAATTCTTTGGAAAACTCGAGAAACATGGCTGTACATTATCTACTTGTCAACACAAAGATGCTTGATGGGCCCTGGGATTTTTTTTTTTGGCAGGGAGGGAAGGATGGAGTGCTAAAATTAATCTAGCTTCTCAGACAGAGCAGGTATTCCTTACTGGAAGTTAAGCGTTTAGACAACTCGAAGGGTTTTTTCCCAGGAGTTCGTGCCTGTGCCCTCTGCTGTGTAAGATGTGTGCTCTTGGTGTGTTTGCAGAGGCCGTGAAGGAAGAGAGTCTGCCTCTGTTCTTACAAGGCTTCTTGCACAGGGTCGGAAGCGAGGGCTGCAGACGTCCTACGTGTGCTCAGAGGGGCGGCTGCGTCTCTCCTTCCTCCTCAGCCACCGTCCGCCCCAGTCCTCCCTACTGAGCTGGGAATGAAAGCACTCCACTCCAACTTGAAGACAGAGGGTACCGAGCCATTCTGTCTGTGTCTGGCCACACTAAACACTTCAAACCTCCAACAGGCTATTTATTACTTGCAAGAGCCCTTAGCATGCTTCATGTCTGAGCTAAAATAGTTTAACAATGTCTCCTGTGAAATCACCATACCCTGGTTAAGTAAAGAAGACACGAATTAGTGTTTATTTCAAGTGCTAGCACACATTACTTCATATCTAACATCTGCTAACAGGTATTTTCAACTTCAACATAGTTGATTGCTAAATAAAGTTAGCCTCAATGTATCTGTTCAAGTTGTTTTTGAAAACAAATAAGAATTTTTGTTATTAAATACTGATTTGGGCTTTCTACTACCCTGATGACTTCGGCATTAATATTTTCTTGAGATTCACGCTGCCTCAGCCTTTCCAATGTATTTCCCAAAGCATTTAATTCGATAAAATTGTTGCTGTGCAATGTTGCAGAGACTCTCTAGAGTCCTTGCTGTCCCTAGTAGTGACATCTTCCAAAGGACAGCGCAGTGATGGCCCCAAAGCGTGACCTGGGGCAGGGAAACTACAGAACAGTTTTTTCCCATGGGAGGAATTTCTGGGGTAAATGCCAAAGAAATTGACTGCTGAGCTGGATATAGCTGCATGTTAATTTTTTAAGTCCATGAAAACTGTTTTGCAGAATGACTTTCCAGTTTATATTCTGACTAGACGCATATGAGTACCAATTCCTAAGAAATATCAGCTATAGATGATGACCAAAGCCAAAGCTTTCATGAGGGTTAATACAGTAAATAAAATGGAAATAAAAGCTTCAAAGAATTGGCACCAAAGCCTAAAATTGCACTGAACAGTAAAATAATGGGCTATAAACGTGGGCAGTATTTGTAGTACCAGTCTTCCTTAAACACCGTCTTTGGAACATTTTAAAGCCTGATGATTCTGTCATTTTATTACGCCATTATTGTCTTGCACCTGTGCATGGTGAGTCAGACTCTGCAAATATGGAGGCTCACTGTGCACCTTTGGGCAGCTGAGCTGGGCAGCTGACACAAAACGACTGTGAAGCCAGGTTTCCTCCTGTAGGCCACAGACCGTGGGCCAATTCCTTTGGCATCAGAGCTTTGAGTGGGGGCCACAAGAAAGCACAGGTCTGCGGCAAACACTGGGTCAATATAATAATCTGATCCACCCGTCTTCAGACTTTGAAAGAGAGCAAACAGGTGTTAGGTCTTTAATAACTGTGTGCGTGATTGCACCAGCTCACACACCCAGAAGAGTTCCGGCTTCCTCATCACCGTTAAAACTGTGAAATATGTCCAAATAATGATCAATGAAAAATATTTCTCAAGACCCAAAATATTTGTCTGGAAAAGCATCAATTATTTTACCTCTGCTCAAGTAGCTGCTTTTTTCCCCATGTAATACATTTTCCTCTCAAAAGAAACTGTGATTTGTGTTGAGGACACATGAGAATAAACTCATGAAATATGAGCTATGGACGTTCTACCTAAATTGCAGGAGAAAATGAATGCTTTGTTAAGCTCAGGTGGTACCTACAGCCTCACAAAGCAAGTGTGCAACTCAGCCCTGCTGTGCTAACTTCTTCTAAGACAAATTCTTTCTCCTCAAAAAATTTTTCATATTTATGTAGATGAACAAATTCTGGTGCCTGAAAGAAATGAATTAAAACACAAATAATCAATTAACAGGATACCATAAGTAAGCCTACCAGAATCAAAAGGGTTGTGAGAAAAGCTCAAATAAGATTCTCTCACAAAGGTGCGTTTTATAACTTTGGTGTTTTCAGTTGTGCGCGATTGTGTGGGATGGCTTCTGACGGCACTCTGTCTGCTCTTGATTCAGGTTGTCGGGATTTCAGCTGCCCTCCTCTATCGTGAGCACGGGCTCCATTCTGACGCTGTGGTTCACAACGGACTTTGCCGTCAGTGCCCAGGGTTTCAAAGCCCTGTACGAAGGTAAGAGACCACGGCTCTCTTCTCTCGCTTTTAGTGCTCCGAGGGCTGGCGTCCACCGTGTGGGTGCGCCCTGCCATGCCCTTGCAGGGTCAAAAGCACTGACCGCTGGACCTCGCTACTGGCCACCACTGGCCCACATGCCTGTGCTTTCCATTCTCGGTGCAGATGTCTCGATCGGATGATGTTTGTTATCCTGTAATAGGAGAAGTTTGAAAACGTTTAGTATAAGTTCTTCACACTGCTTAGTGATGGGCCCCTTCCTAATACGGAAGATTGGCAGTAAACATCTGCTGGAGAGAAGTTTTGCTCATCGGGGGCTTACGTAATGCTAATGTCATAAAATGAGCTTCGTGGTCAAAGTTGAAAACTTGTATTTAGAAAATGAATTTGCCTTAGTGTTGGTTGATCCCTGCAGAAGGAGCGATTTGTTTGTTTGTTGTTTTTGTGTCTTGGAGTTTGTGTTTGGATATCATTTGGATCTTGTTGTTTTTTAAGCTGCTTGAATGGAAATTTAAAAAGCAGATTGAATTTTGAAAAGAGAATTGTTTAAAAAAATTGATAATATTTTATGTATAAAGGCTACAATGTGTATACTTTCATCTTGTTTGGCATGGAGATTTTAAATACACTTCCATGTATAATATTAAAATCATCATTTTGACACAAAGTTTGGAGCTTAAAATTAACATATGCATGTGTGTATATTGGCACATGCATGCATAGATAGATGGATGATAGGTAGGTAGATAGATAGACAAACAGTATGTATATAGATCTGGATGTCTAGGCTATGTCCCAAACACTTTTTTTTTTTTTTGGTCAGTCCTGGGCTTGAACTCTGGGCTTGGGCACTGTCCCTCTGCTCTTCAGCTCAAGGTGAGCGCTCTACCACTTGAGCCACAGCGCCACTTCCAGTTTTCTAGTAGTTTACTGGAGATAAAGAGTCTCACAGACTTTCCTGCCTGGACTGGCTTTGAACTGCCATCCTTAGATCTCAGCCTCCTGAGTAGCTAGGATTACAGGCATGAGCCACCGGCACCCAGCTTCCCAAATACTTTTTGTACTACCCATATTCTTACTTAGAGTATTCATTGCACTCCAAGAAAATATTCTTTATGGAGAGTTAAAAATCTATTTGTGGCACATGTGACTGAATTTATCAGCAATACAGTTATCAGAAAATGCAAGAGTAGAGCATGTTTACTCTATGGACATAAAGCAGTTGAGTGTGTTCTTGTACAAATGTGGACTGCTGTCTTTGAGAACTTTTTTCATGGACTACAATTAGTGGCTTTGAAACATTAATCACATTCAAGTAAATTACTCTCAAGGCATAATTGGTTCTTTGGAAAGTAACATGGCAATGCAAGTTCAATAGATATTATGAGTTTTCAAGTTTGTTACTGCTTCCTGGAAACCTTAAAATCAATTTTTTTTCGTGGGGGGGGGAGGCTTCACACTGTAGAAGCTTCTGCAAAGCAATCAATGCTAGCTACCTGTGACTCTGTCTTTGTCCAATCTACATGTCTGATATCTGTTCAGAAGGCAGATAATATTTCCACAGCCTAGGAGCCACGGCAATTTTACTCTCCTTCACAATACGGTTGATACTTGATCACCTTGGTTTTCTGGATTCCCGACAGTTAATGCAGACGCTCCCTGAGTGATAAGTGATTGCAAAGTGAATAATTCTAGCAAATAGTTCTTGGATATTATTGGGTTTACTGGCTGCCATGGCGCTGTATTTTAAAGCAATTGGTGAGATTGTCTCTGTTGGAATATTACTTAAGTATTATTCAAAAAGACTGGATACATGACTAGAAAAGTAAATAAGACTATAAGTTCCATTAATTATTTTCATAAAAATGTTATACAAGCTGGGTTGGGTGTCACACATAAATAATCCCAATAACAGGAAGCAAGAAGGTCAAGTGTTCGTGGCTGGCTTCAGCTCTACAGTAACATTCTGTCCCCCAAAAGAGCAGCCTGCATGTATATGATATATTAAATGTACCTATATGCTCACATATACACATAGATAGGGAGAAGGTATGGTATAGTTTATACTACTGTTTTGGTCATTCTGGGGTTCAAATTCAGAGTTTCGCAAGTGTTATACTAGTTGAGCCAAGATTCCAATAATTCATACTTCAGTATGTAATTCATACTTTAAATAGTAATATGATGGCATTATCTAGCCTAGTAGTATCTAGTACTAGCCGGTACTTTAAAAGGAAAAACCTCCAGTGAAATTGCCAAAGTGTCATATCAGCAAAACCAAACTTCTGTTCATTATTTAATATCTATATTTTGAAGATATTTCTCAATTAGCCTAAAAGTCTTCTGGGAAAATGAAAGTACGCTGGCTTGAAACTGTAATATTCTGAAAGGAATGTTCCAGAGCCTGCAGGATAACAAAGCCTGCACTACCAGCACTAGAATTTCACCAGTATCAACAAGTCCCCCCGGAAATGATAGCAGGGCTGGGGGAGAGGGGGGCTTGGAGCAGGACCGTGCACAGCAAACGCACTTATTCTCGTTCAAATGTGTGTGAGGTGAAGACAGGACCAATCGCTCTGTCAGGGATTGTGCAGTTATTTTGTCATTTATTATTTACATTCCATTTTTGATGATTTGGGTCTCTTTCCATCCTAGTCACTTAGGTTAAAGTGATAGTCCATTTAGTAAGTTCTAGGACACAAGTGATAAAAAAAATTTCTATGTGTCATCTATGATCTCTAATGGAAATTGAATTTAGATATAAAATATTAAATCAACTCTTAAAATACTCTTCTGAAGTCCTTAATGTAGTTAAATTAAAATTAAGACTTATTTAGTATTACTAAATTGCTGTTTAAATATTCATTTAAGTTTATTGGCTTGATTTTAGAAAATTTTCAACCTTCCAAGATCTATCTAAACATGGTAACTTGGCAGAGAACATAAAGTGGGCACTTGACTCAAGTTGATCTTGGCAACACTTTGGAATAAATATTAACATAAATTTTTATTCATACATGGGAGTATTGAGCTACATAATGAGTATGGAAACAATAAATTAAAATATCCCAATTAATGTGTTCAGCCATTGAATTTAATTCTGCAAATCAAGCAGAAATATTTATAAATTTCTTCCTGACACTACTCAAGGGAAGTGCTTGGCTTTCTATGCATGAGATCTTAGCTAGGAGGTTTATGTATGGCCATTGAAATCAATACCTTTAACTGACCAATACAAAGTAAAAATCAAAGTTACTAACTTAGCCTCTTAAATTACTTTATTGTTAGTTCCATCACTAATCTATTCTCTTGGTAAAATTTACAGCAAAGTATTAATGTATTAAGTTTCTGTATACTTGACAATGGGAAAGATTTCTATACAAATTCTAAGATGTGCCTGAAAGTACTATTTCCATACTTAGCCTTAGTTCCTGCATCTCTGTCTAATGCATTAAGATCTTCATTAGTTTAAACATGCATGGTTTTGTCATCAGGTTTATCTGTATCTGGACAAATACATGGGCTGGGAGACCAGACAAATGATGCAATGCATACACAGGTGACACTGGACTCAAGGACTTCAGAGCTGCTACTCTGCAGCTTCCACTATCTGCTCAAGGTCCTTCCTCCCTCCCTCCCTCCCTCCCTCCCTCCCTCCCTCCCTCTCTCCCTCCTCTTTCTCTTTCTCTCTTTGTTTCTATATATTTAAATTTTGAGACACACTAGTGTTTGAACTCAAGACCTTGTGCTGGCTTACTGAAGGTTTAAACTGTAATAAAGTGTTTTCTGATGATTTCCTTTATGAGTAACAAACTAGCCTAAACATTAGAAGAAGCCCTGGCACACACTTACTGAAAACTCATAGACTCAGTGTTTTAGGTATTTTGATCCTGACGTATGGAGTCTAAATGTCTATTTTTAATAGAAATTTTCTTTGTTACTCTGTCATTACTTCTGAAAATAATTTCAAACATATCATAACCTCCTAAGATAATTCTTTTGTACATTGAATTTGAATAGTCTAAATAGTGGTTTATTCTAAAAATTCAGTTTCTGTGAATTATTTATTATAATTTAGTCTGGCTTTCTAGGGGTTTTTAAAAGTGAAATCATTTTTTATTGAAGATGACTGTATTTTTTATGAGCTGAGGTTTTGTGTGTGAATGAAAGTGGAATATTCACATATAATGCAAATTATATTTAGATGGACAGTACCAATGCTGTGAATCAATGTAGTGAGTTCAAGAGTTATTCGTCATGGTAAATGCTTGTGGCATATATTTCTCAGTAATTAATGGTTGTTGCATAGGTTGAGAATTAACAGGTGGCAAAGCTTATTGAAGAAATGGCAGTTTAAAAGATAAATATGACTGAAAAAATATGCATTTTGAACAGGTACTGATATTTGCAATAATCAACTTGGCAAGATAAAAAATTCAAATTGTAATATTGAAAAAGCAAGCTGATTAAAAAAATATGCACAATGATTATGTATCCATTAAAACCAACACTTAAACTGTGTTTACAAATCCTCACGTCATTTTGACAAGTAGCTCACTTTCTTTTCCCTGAAAAACTGAAAGGAATGACCGCCGGTGAGGGCTCCACCTGGGGATTTGGGTTTCATTTCTCTGCAGTGAAGGTCTTCTCTCACCAGAAGTTTCTACAAAACACATAGGGAAACAAAGGAATTCTAGGATCCACATTATAGCCAGGCGCTCCTTTCTAAAAATCAATTGTCTTAATGCAAGCCACTAAATTACATCTTTTAATGCTGAGAATGTGTGGTCCCCACGCATTAATGTTCAGAACAAGCTGGCCTCTGTTTTCATCTGCTCCTCACACTCTCGCTACGGAAAGTGAGTCTTGCTACGAAAGCCCCTTTGTGTAATTAACTCTGGGGCCAGGCGGGGCTTTCTTGTTTCTTCCTTCTTGCTGAATTTATTTGGCATTTTCCTCTGACACATCCCTCAAGCAGAATTTTCTTTCCTTCAACATCC